TTCACTTGTTCCTACTAGTTAAAAACTTGTTAATTCACGAGTTCAAGCAAAGATAATTCCAGGGCATATTTTAATTTTATTTAATTGAATGCTTTTTGTTTCTCCTATATTCTACGAGAAAAAAAAGCAGAAACTTAGTTTCAGTGTTTGATCTAGCGCACGATCACACTCTACCTCCATATTGAACTGAAGTGAAGAATGAAGGAAGCTGAGTTGTAGGTTGAAGGCCGCCTCATCTTCAATGGAATCAAAAACGGAAAAAGGTATCGTCGACATAATGTAAGTATACATGAGGCTTGTGGCGTCTTTCAAACAAGAAGCTTTCGTGAAAACCAACAAAAATATTGGCTAACACAGGAACCAATAAACTGCCTATCGAAATCCTATCGACTTGGTCATCCATGATGTTATTGAAACAGAATTCTACCTTCTGTTGCTAAACGCATAAATTCTAAAAACAAAATTTCAAGAATTATGGGAAGACCCAGGTGGCCTCTATATAGAACATCAGTGCAGATCTGCAAAAGTGGCCTGGAGAGGAAAATTAGTGTACAGGCTGAGAATGTCTAAGGACATCATAGGTTTGTTCTCAGAAAACAAACTTAATTTTTTTAATAAAGCTCGAAAACCGAAATGAGTCTGAAACAGCAAGTAGAAAACAGATAACAGACTGACAGAATAATTCAGCCAACTATTTGGTCAACTCATGCTGAACGGAGTTACAATGGACAAAATGGGTCTAGGTGGAGATAACCTACTTAGGCAAAGAATACATGTGAGGACGTTGTTTTTCCTGAAGGCCTAGTATGACCATAAATCATTTTGTAAACAGAAAGTAAGAATCTCTGCAATTTCGTCTCTATTTTGACGGTACTGTCATATATCACCATAAATATTAACCAATACATTTATTAGATAATCCAGAGTATGCGTCAGGATATAGGAACGATCCGTTCACTGTCTTATGCACAGCTCGGACCGCTCAACATTTGCGTATATTAGAAGCGGTCTACATAAAGTTACATCAACCATCACTGTGCAGACAGGAAGAACATTTTGTTCGCTCTCTCTGTCTTTTAAGAGGTACGTGAGTGAATTTTTCCATTTTATACTCACTTGAAACCATTTACATTAGCGTTTTTGTTCGTATATTTTCTTTTTTTTATTATTGTTTTACCTCATCCAGCGTAGTGCTATTCACCCATTCTCTTTCTCGTTTGGGCTTAAAGAATAATGATATATTTAAGATGTTGACTTTTCACACTACTCCAAGCAAAATGTTTGAAAGGAAGACTATATTAATACTAGAAAGAGCGATAACAGTTACTGGACTCAAGAAACATAGAATCCTGCAAAAATGTTTTCGGAGAAAGATTTTATAAATTTCAGCCCAAAGTAGCATCGGCTACTTAGTCAGTGAATGCTGAATGTTTCCTTATAAGGAAACGGCTAATATTACCATTACCATTATATCGAACTTATTTAAACGTATTGATTATCTATGTATTTCAGTAAAGATCAGCGAAATATATATTTTAAGAATACGTAATAACAATAAAAAAGAAAAGATTTTTTTAATTTTTTATTTAAAAGATCAAAGAAATATTTTCATCACTGAAAACGAATGACAACAAACTGATATTATAATAATTATTTACTTCTATCAGTGATGCGTGCAATACTTTTAAAAATTGCTCAGAATAAAACGCATACAGCAACGATTATTGAAATGATGCTGATGAAATATGCGAGTAGAGGTTAGAGTAAGAAAAGAGTTGGAGTGGCAGTCAAGAGGTTTTAGCGTAGATGGTGATAAAGTTAAGGGAGACGGATTAACTCATAACATGATAGACATCTTCAGCCGACATGAATATTTCTATTGTTTGTCAATCCCATAAAGAGAATGACACGAATCTCATATTTATAGAACCATTTGCATTTTCCAATTGTCTCGTCTTGAACAAAAGAAACATTACATTTTTCTTGTTGTCTGTCGACGACTGTTTCCAAAAAATATATATGGTTCTTTTATTTTTAAAGATTAAACCTTTGTTCCTTTCCAGGTCAACCACAAGTAAAATTACAGACCCCACCATAGGGATGGTCGTGAAATCTGCGATGTTGTACCCGTAAACAAAATGTTATTTTACACATTTCATTTTCATGGTTTGTATTTTAGGCTTTTGAAAAATATAATGAATAAGCTATGCAAAAATAATTTGCCAAATCAATTATTAAAAATCTATTCATGCGTATTAAAAAAAATTTTTTTTATTCCTTCTGTGTTAATTTTATCCAGAAGTTTTCCTCTTAAGAATTTAACGTGCAATAATATTAGTAGTTTAATCATTAAAACAATAAGATGTATTTATTCAGTAAGAATTATTGATTCCTTGGTGTTTATTAAAAATCACCATCACAATGAAATGCAGATTTTATTACAATTACAATAAGTTTGTCTTTGTAATTCACCCCTGACGATGATCTTGGAGGAGATCAAAAGTAATTGGGTAGAAAAAAACAACGGCGTCTTTCTTGATGAATTTCATCTTAATATCAAGGAACTGATTAGAGAACTGAAAAGGATCATTAAAAAAATAAATAAACATAATACGTCTATATTATTCAATAAAACATGTTTGAATGAAGATATGCTGCCTAAACACACACACGCACACACACACACACACACATATATATATATATATATATATATATATATATATATATATATATATATATATATATATATCGCACATATAGTGCTAGTGTTGATATTCGAGTTGTTGCCAATTTCAAATTGTCATCTTCAGGGTGCAATTTTTCCATACATAGGCAACACTAAGACGAAATATGTGTTGAAGGATAAATGAATTATGTTATTTATTGAGAGTTGAATGTTTTGGAGCGTGCGATGAGGTGATACTAGAGTTCTTGTTCAAATCGATCAAGTGAGAATTTTAGTTTAAAAAGTTATAAATCCACAAAATCTTTCTTGTTATTTGTATTTATCTGTTAAAGTGAAATGGACTTAAATATAATCCAATTGGAAGAGTAAGAATATCTTAGTAGTTTTCCACAGAATTTAATTACTGTGCTGCATATATATATATATATATATATATATATATATATAAAAAAATCCCGTTTATTTTAAATGCAAATATATTTTTTAATAGGAAGCTGTAGTCCCCGTATAATATATGGACTGCACCAAAATTGCTTTAACGACATATTTTTATTAAAAATTAAATTACATAACGGTCAGTCTATACTTAGCACCTGAAGACTGCGTTGTGCATGAAACTCCAAGTCGTGTTACCGGTAAGAGATATCTGCATTTATTAATATATATATATATATATATATATATATATATATATATATATATATATATATATGACTTCCGAATGCACTCTTCTAGACGGTCTACTTGTTTAAGTTGGTGAACACTGCCATAATGCTTGCCTTCAGTTCATCTTTGGTGTTACAAGGAGATTTGTTGGTCTCTTGCTCAACTGCACCCCACACATAATAACCAAGGGGGTTGCAGTTCAACATCCGTCCTATAACTGGGTCTGGTCGTAATGTCATTGCGCCGCTTAGTACCTAACCAGATCCTTCGGCATATTTGGGTTTAAAGCCGGTGATGTAATCATTCACGTACAGCGTGTCTTAGGCCAATAGATCAAGAGGACTTCAAATCATAGACGGTCTCTTCCAACATAAGGTCTCGCTTTGATGACGGACACATGGCCGTTGACTTCAACCTAGAAAGTAATGCCGAGTCATCATCGCGCTGGCTGCCTACAGAGATATAAAGGCCAATCTGTCACATGGTACAAGGTAGCTGTTGGCTCATCACTTCCTTAGATCGGTCTTGCTTTTAATCCTGCTGGCTGTCCAGACAGCCATTTCTCTAGAAAAGCCTGTTTGTCGCCGATGACAGGTAGTACTGGGCTACATTGTAGCAGCAGCATTGGCATTAAAAATGTTTAATGTTAAATTCCATACAGAGAATCATTCTCATTTCCTTTGTATTCCATTTGTAAGGAGAAAGTTCCACTTAGTTTTTTCCCCATAATTTTGTGTGATAAACTCCCAAGAGGATGCTTCCTCAATCAATACGATTTTAACTTTTTAAGTCAACCATTATCTATCCTACATATCTTCATAATATACACTTATTCCACTTACGCCTTGTACTCTCTACCTTGAGTGACTCTTCGGCCTTATATTGAGTGAACAATAGTATAAAAAATATTCGGTGCGGTGAACAACTTTCGAATGCATAATAAAATCTCACAACACCAAACAAGTTATTAGGAATATTTCAAATAAAAATTGGCAGCTGATCTCTCTTCCGATCTGGCTCTAACAGCTCAGTGGGGGAAAACTGGCTGGTTACATTAAATGCCTCGAAAAACAAACTAGTTGCATCAATGTCGATCAGACTTCTAATTACCACCAGTCAAGACGAATGGATGTCCCTCCGGGGAGGTTCCGTGACTTGAGAGGCGATTGGGCCTAAAGGTCACCCCAGACAACAAGTGGAATTCGTTCATACGATCTAATGCTAAGGATACGGGAAAATAGTCGGTTTCCTCTACCGCTTCAGTAAGTACCTGACTCCTCGTGCTATCCTCGACCTTTACAAGAAACAAGTCAGGCCTGAAATGGAGTACTGCTGTCGTATTGATTAGGATCTGCCCAGTCCTCACTTTCCAGTTTCGATAGAGTCCAAAGGCGTCCTTGTGGGTGACAAATTATTTTCCACCCTCCAACTCCTCTCTCAGAGATGGGATGTAGCAATCCTCTTTACTTCCATGAAAAGTGCTCAGACAAACTGCATCCGTTGGTTCTGCTAACCCTAACCTTCACGGCTAGGAATCGACATGCAGTAACTCAAATTGTAACAATCCACCATTACTCGGCTCGGAATTTGGCTCTCCGATTAACAATTCCGAACCGTTACCCTTTACACCACCCGCACATCCAAGCTTACAGTACCTGATATTTGCAAGCGGTCACCCATCTAGGTACAAACCATGTTCGACGTTGCTTAACTTCGGCAATCGTACGAGAACTGGTGTTTCAACGTGATATGGCCATAAGCATATGTCTACTTGGACTCAATGGAAACTGGGTGAGCAGTAACTAAGCAGTACTAAAATAAATAAGAATTAGACGAGATATCCTTAGACATGGACAATGGAACGAGAACAGTCTACCCTGGTAGATTAAATAGAGGGTTCAGTTCGAAATTCCTTGTAGGACACCCGGATGGCATACACCTGATGAAGGCCGGAGTGCACAACGGCCAGAATGTTGTGATAACAACAACAGAAATGAAGACAATAGACAATAGTTCATATATAAATTGTGTAAATATATTGAAGAGCACATTTTTACAAGTTGGAAAAAAAAACCCTTAGATATTAGCATTCTTAGAGAAGCAACTGTTTTCTGGGAAAAAAATAAAATTGTCTCTAAATAATTTTGCTTAAAATCGGAGACATAAAAAGATTAATGGCACTTAGACACCAGCAAACAAATTCAGATATGTTTTTACTCAAAATATTTCAGATTTTACCAAAAAAAAAAAAAGGAATTATTTACACTATTTACATTGTTCGGACTGTTGTCATCTTAATAGTTACAATATCTCATATATAGACAGATAAAAAAAAAAGAATTACTCTTCACTAACTGATATCTCTTCATATTTGGCCAACGTCGGATAAAAATGCGGTGCCTTACAAAGTATACACTTGTATATTTACAATAATATTAATTACAAAATAACGTTATTGCAATGTCGATGTCAGAATTAAAGAAAGTAGCTCTGACATATTTACAACCTGACAGATATGACGTCAACAGTGTGACCACTTGAGGTCAACTAGATAGCAATTAACCTATCCATATGTCAAAAGTGAATGCAAAAAGTCCATTTCGTAGAATAAGTCAAGGACAGTAATTGTTTTTAACAGAATATCTACAGAATAATTTACAATGATTTCCATTATTTTTCCAAATGGAACAGCAGAGGTTGGTAGAGGTTACTGTAACACTTATATATGTATATATGTTAACCTTTAGACCCTTCTGTTGGAGTATAAGGTAGGTGTTGTTACTTTTTTCTTTTACTAAAAATCACTCAATACAAAACCAAAGAGTCTTCCAAGGTAGAGGGTTACTGAATAAGATGCGTGATATGAACATAAGAGGAGCCAATAGAAAGTAAACATTACGAGGATATGGGGGATAGATAACGATTGACCCGAGACTTGAAGATATTAAGATTGCTGTGTTCTGAGAAGAATGCTCTCTTGAATCTGTTCCACAAAGCATTATAAAGTACAGGCTCTCGAGAAAGCAGTTGAGCAACATGCTCTATAAGTTTTCTATGGGGTTGAGGTCAGAAGATTGGGGCGACCATGTCATAACACTCACCTGCTTCTCATCAAAGTATTCCTTCATCAATTTTGATTTGTGACAGGCAGCATTATCCTGCATAAAAATGAGCTTGGTGGGGTCGATTTGCACCCTTTCAGCAAAAGGGAGCAGACAAGACTCTAAAATTATCTTGTACTGCTCGCTCCTGAGGGTTTTTTCAATAGGTTTTAAGAAACCAGTTCCATGAAAAGAAAAGCATCCCCAAAACATGATACTGAACGGATGCTTAACAGTTCTTACTGCTAAATTCAAAGAGCTTTCAAAGCTTCTTCTTCGGATTTTAGATTGCGTATCCTTTGAATTTAGCTCAACTTTCGTTTCATCGAAGAAGAGAACACTTTTATCGAACAGCACTGTAGTTCTTGGGAAAACGCTTTCCAAATGGAACTTCCTCCTTATTAATGGAATACGAAGGGAATGGGGATGATTCGACCCTATGGACGTGGCATGGTGTGTCTTAGCTGTAGAGGTCTGAACTAGAGGAACGAATGATTGTATCACGTGTCGGTTTTGAGAAAGAGGTTTTAGCAGTGCAATGCCCTTCTTAGCGTAGGAATACGTAGGGAATGGAGGTCAGATCTACGGACCTATTTCATATGCTGTTGTGGTTTCCATAGCAAGTAGCAAGCCCCATGGCCAACTGGATTTGAATTCTGAGTTATCCTTCTCTTTGTCAACCAAAGCTAGATAACCCAGTTTACCCTGCTATTTCGTAGCTTGATGGCGAAGGAATAAATTAATTCATACTTTATTATCAAACAATAGAAATCACTTGAGCCTTATTACATCGGTTGTATTTTATTCCACATCTCTCTTTTCTTGTTTAGGATCCCCTTTAAGGTTATCTTTTTAATGAACCTTATATGGATTTATCTTTTAAAATATCAGAAAAATTAAATCCGTCAGAGGAAAAATAAAAATAAAAACGCCATACAGTGATACCTCGGCTTAAGTCGTTTCATGTTAAGCCAGTTTCGAAGATACGTCGGTTTTTCTGAAATATTATATGGAAAAATAAAACTCGTCTTAACATCGTCGTTTTACTCGAGTTTGCGTCGGCCGTTAAAAATATTAGAAACGTCGAAACACTAAAATAACAATAAACACATATAAAATCATATTTAAATAAATTTTAAAATAATGTTATCTATAGTATATATATATATATATATATATATATATATATATATATATATCATAAAATCATCAAAAACAAAAAATTAGCGTAATAAAGTATGGTCAGCAGATATTCTTATTTCAAATTCCTGCCGACAGGCGGCGCTCGTATGATGCTTTCCGCTCCAACACCGATTTTGAATTCAGACTTGTTGACATCTGTGCTCAGATGTTGACGTTCTTTCAATTGCATTTCATTTGTGATTTAGAATATATTTTTTGTCCATGGCTCTGAAGAAAAGTCCCAGTGCAAGTGCTCATGCTAAGCGTAAGGCTATATCGCTGGAAGATAAAGTAGAAATTATTTTATTCAGAATGCTCTACGTACATATAAATACTGTAATAGGCAATGTGGAGTGCTTATTTGATGTTTATTTCGACTTAAATCGTTTTTCGACCACTGGAACCAATTAGCGACGTAGGCGAGGTATACCTGTACTGATTTTTTACATATAAAACTATAAAAGATGTTTTATTTACTCTTTAAGCAAAGTATATTATTCTATGAGTAAACTCTTATGTTGCTTCCAACTCGTGGGGCTAAGTTCTTCAGTTGAAGAAGAAATGCTAGTCAATCGAAACAGTTGTATTTGCAAGATCAGCTAAATAAAGCTAATCTTAGCCATGAAATTTCTGAACGACCCCTTTTCTTATTACATCGTCTGAAGCATTATACTAAGACATTTCTCATTGATTTTTCATTTGTCTCAATACATTTTTTTGGTGGTCTGCATTTTGTCTTGTAATGAATGCTTTCGTTCAAGAATTCTTCTTTGGAAAGCATCAATATTTGTCTTATTTATACACGTAAGTCCCGAGAGATTTTGAGTTTTACAGAAACACAATTGATATGTAAACAAGGATGAGAGATTATGTTTGATTTTAAAGTGTTTTTGTATTTCCGAATAGTTAGAAGTGAAAATATCTTTCTGTTTTCAATATCTTTCTGTTCTTGTTGTTACCAAATGACAAATAATTTGCAATTTTCGCAAGTTTAGAAATTTGGTGGTTTATAGTTCAGAAGCCAAGTCAAATGCTGACCATAGCAATTAGTCATTTTGGTGTTGGATAAGTTCTTTCATCGTTGGTGATGATGGTCGGAATGGAGGAAGCTTTGGTATGTTTCACTTTGAGGAAGATCTAAATAATAAAAGATTAAAATTACAAAAATGGTTTAAAATAATATAAACAAAACGGATTACAATTTTTATTCAGATTCGCAACATGCTTACAAAGTACAGATTCTAGATATGCAGGAAAGAGCTTGACAAACTAGAGAAACAAAATATAATGATCATACTGTTGTTAATTTAGCATTCAATCTATGGCGAACAGAAAACCCCCGCCATTTTGCACAAATTGGAAAATTTGATACTCACAGGACAGATTGAAGAACAAAGAAAAACAATGCATAACTTACTTAGAGAGCTTGACTAAGTGAATGACGGTACAATGTTTAGGAGAGATAAAAAAAAGACAACATTTATTAAGAGCTACAAAGGATGGAAACCGTGATTTCCAACGTCTTGGAGCGATACATAGAAGAAGAAGAAGAAGAAGAAGAAGAAGAAGAAGAAGAAGAAGAAAGAAGAAAGAAGAAATCGCTAACGGAATTTAAGGTTCTACAGTGTGGGAGATTATCACTATTCTCAAAATATCCAATAAATAAATTTTATTTTATTTAGCTTGGTTATGTTAATCACATTGATGTGTGGCTTCCAAATAATCGACAAATATCTGACAAGACTGTATTTTCCTACTCATCTGCTAATGAATTTAACTTGATGTGTCATTTTAGTAACCATGCTGGTTGCAAACGAATATTAGTCCTTCTGGACCTTGATGGCGGGAGGTCTATAAGAAAACATTTGAGTATTTACATGAAAATATATACACGGAGTATTGTTTGCGTATTAATTACATGGAAGAAGAATATGTTTTAATAATTTCATACCAAGCAAGGCAATAAAGTCACTAAAACTCAATGGGTTACTGAGTGTGAGTCGACCTGGTATGACGATAAAATACTTCCGGCAGCATGGGGCCTTAATTGCTCTTGTTCCCAGGTCCACACCGAACCAATGTAGTTCACTGTTTGCTCATATTGGTAAATAGTTAACTCCCGAACTGGGGTCAAAACACTATGAAAGTATAAAAATAAATTTTTCTAGTAAAAATACCAGCAATACATTTTTGGAAAAAATATTACCAGCAATACATTTGACTCTCGACCAAAAACTTCTTTAAAAAAATACGTCAATGAAACCTGAACAAGAAACTGATTTCTTCCAACGAATACATATTCTATTCATATGAACCTATCCTAAAAATCTTGTCGGCATGCTTTAAATAACTCATTGAGGTTGATATGTCGTAAAATAAACGAAACTAAGCCAGGTACTCTACAATACCTCTTTATAAAATAGGTCAATGAAACCTGACCAACAAACTGATATTTTACAAAGTATACATATTGTGT